ACACAGTGCTGCTGTACCATATCCCAGACCTAAACTCAAGTAGAACTATCACTGTCTGTAGAAAGTTAAAGACATCAAAGGAACACAGAGTAAAGAAGGTGGAGCTTGCAAACATACTTACCTTCACAGAATGATCCGCTGAACCAGTCGCTAGCAGAGTTCCATCTTGATTGAATTTCATGGATAAAATTGGTGCAGTATGCATAGTTTTCCACATCCGAGCTACAGCATTTGAACCATCCAGCGAAAATTCACGAATCTGAATTTTTTCACAATATAAAAAAAACAAAAATGATGAACTGAAGACAATTAACAGCAATCTATCTTTCAGATACAAACAAGCAGATAAAAACTCAAGAAAGTAGTAAAAATAAAACCAGATCCATAAGAATTGCAAACCAATTAGTGATCTAAGAAGATCAACAGCTTATCCGAATGAGCTCAGAATATAAGAACCTACCACATAATTGGTGTAAGCCACAAGCAGTCGAGAGCGATTCTTGTCTAAGCAGATACAAGTTATCCGTAGACTTTCTTCGGGGTCTCCAATGGTGTGACTAAAAGGTAGAGTATAACTTCGCGGCTTTCGGATGTGAGGATAAACCAACCAAGAAAGATTCTCATCCAGATTGATGACCTTCACCACATTTGTGCAGGTCGAATACAATGTGCTTCCATCTGCACTCCATTCTATTACTCCACCAGTATATAGGGCTTCAACAGATCGCTTCACAGCAAGGTCACTCACAATGTTTTTCATTTTTGATCCATGCAATCAACTGGAATACAGCTGGCGATCAAGATCTGAAAATCAAACTTTCACTCAATGAGAAGAAGAGCGATAGGCATTAAGGCTAAGCAACAGTTTCCACAAAGTTTACAGCGGCAGCGAAGGTCATCAGTGCATCTTAACAGTTCTCTCATTTTTGACTAACTAGGAGTGAAACCATTCGGGTTCAATCTTTGAGAAAACAATGTTGGGATAGCCTGTCTCAGTGTGAGTGTCATAGCTTTAGCGGCTCGGCCCTCGCCTCTGCCTTGCTTGGCTTTTGCGCTTCTTCCTGAATGTATCG